AATACATGTTCTAGAGTTTAACAGTCTATATCCAGATAACAAACTGTAAATACAAAAGTAACAGAACTCTAGAACATGTATAACAGTCTATATCCAGATAACAAACTGTAAATACAAAAGTAACAGAACTCTAGAACATGTAGAACAGTCTATATCCAGATAACAAACTGTAAATACAAAAGTAACAGGACTCTAGAACATGTAGAACAGTCTATATCCAGATAACAAACTGTAAATACAAAAGTAACAGAACTCTAGAACATGTAGAACAGTCTGTATCCAGAAAACAAACTGTAAATACAAAAGTAACAGAACTCTAGAACATGTATAACAGTCTCTATCCAGAAAACAAACTATTTATTAATCAGAATTGTTTGTTACGACAAGCTATGTGAAGCGTATTTACTTAATATAATTGATGTTTTCATCAGGAGATTTAAAAATAATAAATTATCATTAACTATTCGTCAAGACAAGAAATGGAAGAAATAGGTACAAGTTAAAAGACTAATTAATTGTAGCTAGAAGACATAAAACACACACACACACTACCTTAAGGTAACCATCAGTAAAGGCATCTGTGTGATAGAGACGACAAGGGTCATACAGAAGAGTAGTACCATGAATGGAATCATCACTTCACAAGCATGTGGACAAGGTCCAGCTGTGGCAAGAGGAATGGCCATAACTTGTTGGGCAAGGGTTTTATTAGTAATTATACAGGCACAGCTGGTATAATTCTAAAATGAAACGAAACACCAAACTGTAACCTTTACCTATTATTAGAGTTAGTGTAAATGTTCTATATAAAATATATATATATACTCTTCTTCTATACAAAAGAAAGGGTTAGTATAAATGTTCTATGTAGAATACATATATATACTCTTCTATACAAAAGAAAGGGTTAGTATAAATGTTCTATGTAGAATACATATATATACTCTTCTATACAAAAGAAAGGGTTAGTATAAATGTTCTATGTAGAATACATATATATACTCTTCTATACAAAAGAAAGGGTTAGTATAAATGTTCTATATAAAATATATATATACTCTTCTATACAAAAGAAAGGGTTAGTATAAATGTTCTATATAAAATATATATATACTCTTCTTCTATACAAAAGGGTTAGTATAAATGTTCTATATAAAATACATATATATACTCTTCTTCTATACAAAAGAAAGGGTTAGTATAAATGTTCCATATAAAATACATACTCTTTCTATGTGCATGACATTACAGTTTCTTCTCTTTAAAATAGAAATATTAGAAACGTTTTGACAGTTTACTTTTACAATAGCCTAATGAATAATATATTTAAGTTGCGTCAAAGGAGCAGTATATGTTTCGTGAAATGAAACTCAATAACAACAAACACAGTTACTTGCTATTTATAACTTAAACAGCACCTATGTCACACAAGGTTAAGTACTAATTTAGTACTGGTGACCAGAGGGAAGGTTACCAGTCATTATCATCTACATAGCTACTCATAACTAAATAGTAGGAATAACTGTCACTTTTATAACGCACCTTCAATTGAAAATCCAAAGTGTGATCGGTGGTATATCAGGACTTAAACCTTTGACCCTCCAAGTTAATTCAATTGAATTTCAGTGTGAGCTTCTGTTACACTGATTCTTACTGTTACAATTAAAGATATTAATTCATAGCGTAACTGACAGATCAGGCACCAAATTATTACTTTACATAAAACATTATAAATCACTTTTCTAATTTTCTTCCAACATGAGTTTACCTTTTACTCGTATATATTTACTTCCTCTAATGGTTTTAGGCAACATTTATATCTGTAAACTTACAGGAGAATGCTTCTTGCTCTCCTGTAATGAATTTAGGCAACATTTATATCTGTAAACTTACAGGAAAATGCTCTTGCTCTCCTGTAATGGATTTAGGCAGTGTTTATATCTGTAAACTTACAGAAGAATGCTTCTTGCTCTCCTGTAATGGATTTAGGCAACATTTATATCTGTAAACTTACAGGAGAATGCTCTTACTCTCCTGTAATGTATTTAGGCAACATTTATATCTGTAAACTTACAGAAGAATGCTTCTTGCTCTCCTGTAATGAACTTACAGGAGAATGCTTCTTGCTCTCCTGTAATGAATTTAGGCAACATTTATATCTGTAAACTTACAGTAGAATGCTTCTTGCTCTCCTGTAATGGATTTAGGCAATATTTATATCTGTAAACTCACAGTAGAATGCTTTTTGTGTTGCCTAAATTCATTACAGGAGAGTTTATATCTGTAAACTTACAGAAGAATGCTTCTTGCTCTCCTGTAATGGATTTAGGCAACGTTTATATCTGTAAACTTACAGGAGAATGCTTCTTGCTCTCCTGTAATGGATTTAGGCAACATTTATATCTGTAAACTTACAGGAGAATTCTTCTTGCTCTCCTGTAATGGATTTAGGCAATATTTATATCTGTAAACTTACAGAAGAATGCTTTTACTCTCCTGTAATGGATTTAGGCAGTGTTTGTATCTGTAAACTTAAAATCAGACCACAGAAGTAAATATTCACACCCACACCAAATTATGCTTTAAAATTACTGCAAAAGTCAGAACATTTGTGCAAAACAGTTACTCTTATCTGCAAAGGTAAGTTTGAATATTTTTGGTTTAATACTTTCATAATAGCATATAAATAACTTAACAAAACAATACAACATAGGGTAATCTTACCTTAACCTCACCACCAAGAATGTGCCTGGGCCTAACTTCAGGACGACAACCAGCATGACATGGCGAGAAGTAAGTGATACCATTCTTACCACAGACAGGCTGTATGTCATTCAGAGAACAGTGACATCCTAGGTTACAGTCGGCTGTCAGGTTGACTTCAAATGGCTTAAGCTCGGGACTGAATTAATAAACAACACAGATTAGAAGCATAGAGTACTTGATTAATAAACAACATAGATTAGAAGTGTAGAGTACTTGATTAATAAACAACATAGATTAGAAGTGTAGAGTACTTGATTAATAAACAACATAGATTAGAAGTGTAGAGTACTTGATTAATAAACAACATAGATTAGAAGTGTAGAGTACTGGATTAATAAACAACATAGATTAGAAGTGTAGAGTAGTCGATTAATAAACAACATAGATTAGAAGTGTAGAGTACTGATTAATAAACAACATAGATTAGAAGTGTAGAGTACTTGATTAATAAACAACATAGATTAGAAGTGTAGAGTAGTTGATTAATAAACAACATAGATTAGACGTGTAGAGTAGTCGATTAATAAACAACATATATTAGAAGTGTAGAGTAGTCGATTAATAAACAACATATATTAGAAGTGTAGAGTACTCGATTAAT